CTCTGTACAATATTTTTACAATAAAAACATATAAAAAAAGATCTGTCTGTGTATGTGTTGTGGTGAGGAGTACTGAAGTCATGATAATGAATACTTTGCACACTCTCAGGATCCCAATAGACATACAAAAATGCCTCTCATTACAGGTAATAAATTCTATTTCAAAAACTTGAAGAATCATTAAAGAGACTAAATATAGCTTTGCATAGCAACAATCACTATATCTGGTATTCTTCATAAATAAACAGCAGCTCATTCTCTTGGACATGATATGAAAGGGACTGGTGATCTAACAAGAAAGCCTGGCCATGTGAAGAAGAAAGTATTGAACCAAAGGACAGTCTGCCTGCCTAATCTGAAAAGATCTCAGACCTTCACCATCCTGCTTTCCATCCTGCTTTTACCCACTGTGCTGAGTTTTTAAAAGACAAAAACACACTAGCCAGTGAAAGAATTTTAAACCAAGTGTGAATTTTTGCTCTCAGCCTCTAGGCAAGAATAATGAAAACAAGCTAAACACAACATGTTTTTCTTTTAATCTATTTAAAGATGTTAGAAAGCTGCCAAGAAACTAAAGGTTTTAGGAAGTCAAGATCCAGGAATGAAGAAATCCCAGCAAAGCAAAGCCATTAGATGCTCTGTTTCCCCTAGAACATTTACTGATTATGAAACCGCACCTGGGAAGTTGTCTCTCCATCTCACTAAGCTGAGCACCCAAGTAAGCAATCATGCATATGTCAGAAATGAGAAGCATTGCTGGAACCCTAGGCTTAAAATCCTGACCTTTAAGGAACATGGTCGAAGCAAAAGAAAATGTATTCATTTGGCAGGAAATGGCATTCAACACTTTAAGTTCTAAAATCTTTTATGTGTAGTGTTTGGTACTGGCTAGAAGAAACATTAGGAAAACAGGAAAGGTAAGCCAAAGAAACTTCCAAAATGTCCAGTCATTAGGCAAAAACTGGGAAAATTTGATTTAATAGAAGACTAAAGATATTGCGACATTCATTTCGATAAAACAAATTTTATTTTGAGGAAGAAAAACTTGATAATTTACTCTTCTTGAGCTCAGGGCCTGGATGTTTTTAAGTGTTCATGCTCAAGGTTACCAGTTGAGCCACAGCTCTACTTTCAGCTTTTTGTGGTTCACTGGAGATGAGATTCTCATGGGCTTTTTTCCTGGATTGGCTTTGAACCACATCAATCCAAAAATCTCAGCCTCCTGAGTAGCTAGGATTACAGGTATGATCCATCAGCACCTGAATGATTTATTCTCAAAGCAAACAACTTCAAACTTTATTCACTTAAAATATAATGAAAATTATATTGAGGTTTTAAAAGTCATGATAAGATTGAAAAAGACTGAATATAAAACGTTGGGAGCATTTTTTCCCATGATACTATGTACATGCAATGCACATATGTTCTTTTTCATAAGACACAGAAAAATACTGATTTTATTCTGAAATCGCTAATCATTTGTCCTAAGTAATATGCTATTGAGATTCTACTTGCAACGGCAGATTCCACTTGGACTTTAAATATGCTGATTTTTTATAAGCTTCATAAAATTGATGTTTTGCTAATAAAAGCCAGCCACTTTGACTAGAATAAAGTAACATGATTATCTCTCCATCAATTGCTCCCTAGCTCATTCATTAGGTAACAGAGAATCATCATTAGACCAGGAATGAATCCTGATCACAATTAAGTAAATTTGAGTTTGCCCTCATAAGAGAAAGTAAGAGGTCATGCTATAATATTTAACCCACAAGAGAAAAATAATAGATTGGATAATAATGCAGGATATATTTTCAGCTTAATAGAATTTACAGGTAACTGTGGAGTTAAGTAAGGTAATGGAGAAGCAAAGTTAATTTCAGTAAGTTATATGAGCAATTTTCAGAGAAGAGCAGTCTGTCCTCTAAAAACACAAAGAATTCATACGGTAGCTGAGTGCTTTACTGGCTGTTTGCCATATTTTAATGTCTTCTGTTTAATCTTTGTGTTTGTTTGGTTTGATTTTGTCTTGCTGTTAGCTCAGGCTGTAACTCACCATGTACTGAGGGCTAGCCTCAAATTCATGATGATCCTCCTACCTCAGCTTTCTAAGTGCTTGGATGACAGGGATGCTCTTGGCTTCTGTTAAATTTGTATATTTCATTGATATATTTCTACTAGTGGAAATTTCCAATAGTCTTTAGATTTTCATTTTTTTTTTCTAGAACTGAATTAAATTCCAGTTGTTGTTTTTTTTCATGGAAGAAAGGTTGGGAAGACACTCTTGATTCCAAAGTGATTCCAACAAACAGAGGCAACTGTGTAAGTGGAGGCTGCTATTGGCAGAAAACAGCTTCAGTATGGCAGACCTGCCTCCAATTATTTATGATTAAACAACAACATGACACTTCTCTTTAGTAGATCATAATTAGTAGAGAAATATGAAAGGTCTTCTAAGACCCAATAGGTAGCTCTAACAGCTCAGCAGGCAAACAAACAAACTTTTAATTTTTCTAGATAGAGCATATATCATGATAAAGAGTCAGCTGAGAAGGAGCCATGAAAAACAAATATTGGCAATATCCAAATGGGATGATCCAGAGGAGTCTAAACTTGTGGAATATGATGTTTAGAACAATATTATCTATCCTGACAGCACATTTCAGTGATCTAAGCTTGTGTAACAGCACATATCAGCTATAAATTTGTTCCAAAGTTTAGAGAAGTGAAATACATTTGTCAAGGTATTCATCCTTGAGGGGTAGAATCAGGATTCAGAAATGCAAGTTTGACTATTCAGCAAACAACTCTCACCAGCAGTATACCAGTATCCAGTTTTTTTAGTTGGTTCATTATCCTTAAAATAAGAAAATTATCAGTCTTACAAGTTTTAGGGCCCGTCCATTCTAAGGAAGTCTTAATCTCCTATAGGAGCAAAAATTAAGCATCTGTTTGTTACAGATACATACGTCATTCCAAATCAAGCTGGGGTTTGATCCTTTAAGAGTCAGATCTCCACTGAGTAATATTTAAAACCAACAGAAAAACAGTATGATCATTTTAGGAAGCTTTTGAGGAGGCAGAATATTCAGCTAGTGGAGTAAGAATGTGAAGGAAGGTACCTTCGTTTGGTCAGGCAGCTTTAACAAACTACTGTTTGATGAGTGGTTTATAAACAACAAGCAAGTTGTTCTAGAGGGTCCACAGTTAATGCACCAGCAGATCTGATGTCTACTAAGGGCTGGCTTTATCATATACAGTGACTTCTTCATTATTTTCTTCATCTGGAGGAAATAACCAGAGGTCTCTTTTGGGTCTCTTAATATAAGATCGTGTAATAATAATAATAATAATAATAATATAAGATCATGTTAAGGGCTCTGGCTCTATAACTGTCTCCCAAAGACTCCATTTCCAAATGCCATCATCTTGAGGGTTAGCACTTCAGTACTTTAATTTAGAGCCAAACAACATGCAGACCATTCAGGAAGGGGAAATGTTTCTTGCTCAACACAATCAAAACCAGCCCTTTTAGGTAGCTTTCTCTTTACAATAGATTGTCTTGTAAAGCCTTTGGCCATTTATTCTCTCACTCAGCAAATACATATGTAGCATTTATTATGACCTAAACACTCAGCCCACCTCTCTCTCCACCTCCCATCCCATTTTAAATCAAAACCTTTACATGAAACAGCTTGTTACCTTAGCTTCAAATGTATACCTACTTGACTCCATTCTTGGTGGACTCCCCAGAGGAGCACAGAAAAATTTTCTCAAGAGCCCACTAGGAAACAAGTAATCATTCTGACTGAAAATGGTTGAAACTTAAAGCCTATCTGCCTCATGACCTCCCTGACAGGCTTCAACACATCTTTCTCTCTCCCATTCTCAAATCTCTGCCTTGAGTGGATGAACCATGAACAGACAAGCAAAACTGGCAAGAACTGGCAAAAACAAAACAAGTGGGAGCATGGGTCTCTCTATACAGACTATTGAAGAAAACAATCATTTGAAGAGTAGCAAGTTTGAGGATTTTTTAAAAATCCATATTGAGCCTTCAATTCAGAAACTCACATTTGCTTGACTGCTTGTTTAGCTGTTGCTCTACCAGTTGGGGTATACCTCTAATCCTGCTTTATTTTGCTGGCTCTTTTGGAGATACAATCTCACAAAACTTGGCAGCCCAGGTTATCTTTGAACTGAGATCCGGATCTCAGTTAGCTCCTTAGTAGTTTAGCCATCAGCACTGGTTTATGAAATTTTGTATCAAAATATGGGATTATAAGATTTTTGTATTATAATATAGTATAATAGCATGTAGTAATTATTATATATGGAGTATATATGTATACATATACATATAACATAGCATATATGTTACTATATAGTATATATAATGCCCACATTTATATATTATATATACAGTATAAACTATATACTATATACATCCTATTTATAAAATATACTATTATACATATCATATACAATAATTTACATAACATTTTTATGGTATGTTTTTATGATATATCATAATACACCATCATTGTATATGCTTAATTTTCTATGATTTTTCCTTTATTATTTTCTTACAAAATATACTCATAATATTTTTAAATTTAATGTGTTGTGAACTTCTATTTTCTTAGGGCTAGGATGTTTCTCAGTGGCAAAGCACTTGCCTAGCGAGTGCAACATCCTGGGTTCAATCCCCAACATTAAAAGAGAAAAAAATGATTAAAAAAAACAGTTAAGTTCTATTTTCTTATTGGCAAAGTAAATATTTGGAAAGATAGCAGAGTGTTCCTTTTTTAATTTACTAAGCATCCCAACTTCTTGTTTACATATGTCTTTTTAAATACTATTCATATTTCTTCAACAATCGTCCCAAGACTAATTGTAGAAAAATTTACCAAGTAATATGATCTTTTATTAGGGAAAATTTCCTTTTGTTATGTTGGGCCCCAAACAAGTATTTCTTTGCTTACATTTCTAGATCCAACTTACCTGTCAAACAGTTCTCCTCCTGTGACGAGTTCTAGGACCAAGCTGATTTCTGTAGGAGTTTCAAATATTTCTTTAAGTTTTATCTGGGGAAAGATACATATAAAAATGAGTATGACGGAGTCCTTTCATCTTTCTTGAGAGCATCTAAAACAATGGTTAAAACGACACTGGAAGATCACTGTTAATAATGAAAGTTCCTTATCAGGTAGATACTACTTATCACCCTCTATCTTGGGTGTTGGTTTTGTCAGTGGCCTCATATTTTTCAAAGATCCTATTATATTTGAAGTTTTCTTTTGCATAGTGGAGTTGTGGAGGTGGGGTGGGAAGGGATGATAGGGGAAAAACAAAGGAGGGGGTAACAATGCTCAATAGGAAATGTACTCATTACCTTAGTCATGAAACTGTAGCCCCTCTGTACAGCATCTTTATAATAAAAATATATATTTAATATAAAAAGAAAAATAACTACCTTGGAAATACATCCCACATTTTGCCAAAATATCCCAATTTCTGCTTTTCTCTAGAATCAAAAATGAAACTTCTGAAACTATGTAAAAGTATCACAATTACTAGAGATGGAAAAGGCATCTTTCTTGGAAACTAGGACTTGTAATGAGGGGTGTGAGGCAGGGCATGACCAGGTGAAAGTATGTATGTAAAGGATGCTCTTTGCAGCTAAAATGTTACTGGTCCTTAGGCGAAGAGTGGTGTCAGAGATTTGATTGAGCACTAAGGTTTTCAACACATTCAGATAATATGACCAATTTTGGATATTCTTTTCTACATATATCTGAGAAGCTAATGGTCAGGAGTAATCTACTTTGAGGAAAATTTTGCATTGGCTTTTCTTTAGAAAAAGAAAAAGAGCTGGCTAATATAAAAATACTAATCCAGTGTGGTAATTTTGTTAGTTACTTATCCAATGCTTTCCACTTTATTGCACACAGAATCTTGATTTTGTTCAGGAAAGCAAGCTACTCAGCTCCTGGTGGATCGTGACGGTCTAAGTCGTGTGTGAGAAGCCAGTTCCCCAATCTACCATCTCCCCATGCAATTAAGATTTCATGACTGACCAGCTCTGGACAATAAAATTTCAATTCCATGGTAGCAGATTTTCTGAGAATTTTTTCCCCCTCATCTTATTCTGCTGGTAAGGTACTTCAAACTTTTTTTTTCTGAATATAGACCTGAGGATTTGTGCAAACCAAGAAGCTTGAGAATGACATCAGTGCATTAAGCATGGCAGTACTAAGGGTTGTGTGGGGGAGGGGGTCGGGGAGAAGGTCTTGGTCTTGTGTCTCGGAGATGCTGAACTGAGGCTAGATACTGCCTGCCTTGATGTCTTATTTGCTAGTTTATTGCTAAGTGCATCCTCGGCTCATATGTTGGAAACTTCCTCAAGCCAGGTTATCCCTTCAGAAACTGCTTTCTCAGAGAAATAAGAAAGGTGTTTTATTAAGTAGGCAGCTTAATTACTAAAACCAATTTATGGCTGGGGAAATGATTTCATACGGTTTCACTTCATTGGTTCAGAAAGGCTTTTCAGCAGACACGTCCTTCAGAGGTGCTGCCTGGACACTGACTAAAAGCAGAACTTCTGAGGACATTTTATTTTGTTTTCTCCCTTTGAATTTATCACTGATTGGCATCTATCTCCCGATTGTTCTGAAGCAGAGACTCTTTCAAAGAAGACCAAAATGGCTCTGGAAAGCAAGCCAGAGGCTTTCTGGGCAATAGCATATTAATAAGAGAGTCATACAAAAGGAAGAGAGTGGCAGTGTTGTAGTACAGTAAAACCAAACTACTCAATTCCATCCTTTTGTACATGCAAAGACATAGTATCTCCTGATAATCCATCCATTTTGAACCAACTGAATAAACATGTAAGATTTTTTTCATCCATCTTCTCATAATCATCATGAACAGATATGGACAGTAGTCCCATGCTATAGCTTTGGAAAATAAAATATGAGGTCAAAAACTACTTACAATGTTTGGATGTGAGAGGCGAAGAAGAACTCCTATCTCAGTTCTTACGATTTTTTTGTCCACCTAAAAAGGAAGATAAGAATTCAAATGGAAATATAGTCCCATCTCAGGAACATTTTTAATGCAGTACAGATCAGAAATAGCATTTAGCTACCTACTAAAATCAGACAGCCGGACTTCCTTCCCTCCCTCCCTTCCTTCCTTCCTTCCCTCCCTCTCTCCTTCCTTTCCCCTTCTTTCCTTCTCTCTTCTTTCCCTTTTCTCTTTTTCTTTCCTTCCCCACTTCTTTCTTTTCTTTCCTTTGGTGCTGGTCCTAGGGCTTGAAACTTAGGGCTTAGGTATTGTCTCTCAGCTGTCTTACTCAAGGCTAGTACCCTACAGCTTAGGTCACAGCTCTACTTACAGCTTTTTGGGGGTTAATTGCAGATAAGAGTCTCATGAACTTTCCTGCCTGGGATGGCTTCAAACTGTGATATTCAGATCTCAGCCTCTTGAATAGCTAGGATTACAAGCATGAGCCACTGGCGCCTAGCTCTGCTCTCCTTCCTTTTTTGACAGGGCCTCTCTGTGTAGCCCAGGCTCTAATCACAGACCTCCTGCCTCTGCCTCTTGAGCGTAGGGGTTACAGGTAGGCACCATTATGCCTACTAAGCTTTTCTCTTGTATTTTCTTCTCCTTTTGCTTTTCTCCTCCTTGTCCTGCCTCTCTGCTTCAGAGATAAAGTAGAGCTTGTAACAACTGGCATTAATTTTTAGATTTATAGACATATTCTAGATATAAAATGATGCTTTGAAATGAGCTGTAAGAAATGGAAACAAGAGGTTATTTTAATGTACAGTTTTCTGTTATTTCTTTTTTCTTTCTTTCTTTTCCTTTGGTTTATTCCCTGTTGTCAGTGCTTTTGATTTCTGTACCTTTGTCTTGTATATAAATTTCTATGATTTGGGAAGGAGAAGGAGAGTCACAGAAATGGTGGTATAAAGGGTGAACCAATTCAGCAGTGATATTCACTAGACACTATGTTAGAAATGAACTTTACAACCTGGTTGGGGGGGAGGGAGGGTGTGGATGAGAAAAAGTGGAAGAAAATGAGGGAGAGGGTAACACTGCACAAAAAGAAAAATACTTATTACCTGACTTACGTAACTGTAACCCCTCTGTATATCACCTTTACAATAAAATTTAAATAAAAAAATGGTATCACAACTTATAAGATCTCTTTCCCTTGCATATGAAAAGTCACTATATTCACTATTACTGCTATGGCATAAATTCATCTCAAACTATCTCTTTCTTCTATTCCTTCATTTATGAAAGTACCTGTCTCAAACCCAAATGGAGCTATCCCTTTACCTACTTTCTGCATATAGAGATACCAAACGACTCAACCTAACCAACCAGGGTATCCCATTCTTAGCCATAATAACATCATTAAGCATCCAGTAGACCTACATCATTCTAGAGGCTCTGCTCCAAAAATTGTGCTCAAATAATCAAAAAGTTTTTTTTTCTCTCGGAAATTATGAGAGCAAAAAAGGATAGACTTTTCTGCTCTTAATGATCTTATTTTATAACTATGAGAGCCATTCTCACTGGAAATGAAGCCAACACAGGAAAAAATACAACATAAAGAAAGAATATTGCTGATATCATTTACTTTCCTGAACTCAGTTATGCATAAAAGTTTGTCCTTTGAACTTCCTAATGACAAGAACCAGTAAATTTCCATTATCTTCTTATTATCCAGAATTCAGTTCTATTTGTGGCCTTTATGGAACACTGGGGACTCACCACTTGGTCTATGTGCAGGGGCAATTCTCAATTTAATTTACTATGATTAAAATTAAAGATGTTCCTTCCCTTTCTGGGTCAGCAATGAACTCTTTTAATCACAGTGAACTGGTGCTTCAGATCTCTAAAAGTCATATGCAGACACAGAAGTGTGCATTTAGTCTTGTTCCAACAAAATCCATTGTTGTAACATATAGTTGACATCTATCTTGTGATTGTGTTTCTGCCATATTAGCTGTTCTGAATCTCTGGACTGGGAAAGTTCCCATGGTTCTAGGGGTCAGTAGGAAGTTTTATGTTTTCTTTTCTTTCTTCTTTCTTTCTTTCTTTCTTTCTTTCTTTCTTTCTTTCTTTCTTTCTTTCTTTCTTTCTTTCTTTCTTCCTTTCTTTTTCTTTCTCCCTCCTTCCCTCCCTCCCTCCCTCTGTCCCTCTCTTCCTTCCTTCCTTCCTTCCTTCCTTCCTTCCTTCCTTCCTTCCTTCCTTCCTTCCCTCCTTCCTTTCTTTCTTTCTTCACACCACATCCAAAAGATTGCCTTAAACTAACAATGGTTCTAGCTTCTAAGTTACTTCTCAGTAAAGGGGGGCAGGGTAGCTTGAGGAAAAGTCCAATTCCATTTCAGTGGTGATAGCAAACTATTGCTTTCAAGATGAAAAATAACATTTATTCATTTAATTTTTATTCTCTAATGAGTACAAACAAGAATATATTCTTTGAAAATAAAGGAAGAATACTCATGAAAATTTTACAAATGTGTACGTTTTTCCTTTGGTTACAAATGCAAATATGTCATTCAGATATTTCCTTCAGCAAACGTAATTTTGTCAGAACCTAGGGTAGATTGTTTAAAAGAGAAGAGTCACCATTAATAAACAGCTGCAGTTTTTATAAGAAGGAAATGGGTTGACAGAGAAATATCAAAGAAGCCCCACCTCAGTCAGAGTTTTCAAGCCTATATCACCATTGTATATGATAAACAGTCATAGTAAAGCTATTTTAACTATTAACATTTTCAGTCATTCATGCAATCATTTAGAAGGTTTAGGGCATTTTCATGTAGTTATTTATTTTAATTTTATTGTTAGAGTGATGGACAGAGGGGTTACAGTTACGTAAGTAAGGTAGTGAGTACATTTCTTGTCAAACTTGTTACCCACCACCTTCATTTTTCTCCCTTTTTCCCTACTTCCATCCCCCACACCAGTTGTACAGATCATTGCCAACATATTGTCTTGTGAGTATCACTTCTGCATTGGTTCCCCCTTTGTCCTTTGTTTCTCGCCATTTTGTTTTCCCCTTTCCTTTCCTAATTTAGAATAAATGTATAACAATACCAGGGTATCAAAATCAAATATAGTGACAACAGGAGATATACCATAGGGGGAGAAAAGACATAAAAGAAAAAAGAAATCATGTAGCCCTGACACACACATTTAATCTGTCTCTCTTCTTTCCAAATGCAGGAAACAGGGCCACAGAAGCCCCACATAGATATTGTTCAACATCACATTTCAAAGGGAGAAAAGGCCCTCTTTCTGATCTATATACTAACCTTCAGTATTCTTCTCCGTAGCCTTGCTTGTTTCTTATACACATTGCTAGAGGAAGAGACAGGTTTCTATGACAAGACCACACATGGGTCCAGGGCTCTTTCCTTCGACCAGGATTGAGATTGGGGTATTTGGTTCTGCTGAAATATAATTGTTGCCCTGACTATACATTTAGGATTTATGTAATTTATGGTCCTTCTTCCTGTATTTATGTATTTCTGATTGGTGAAAAATGGTCACAGACAGTGGGGTCCTTTAATTTCTTTCACATGATATTTTTACAGTGAATACAATTTTTAGTGCAAATATGCATTTTGATAAAATTTATTCTTTACTATATCACCTGGTATAAAGTCCATGTTAGGAATACTCCTTTAGTTCTTTCAAACTTCAGAAATACTCATAACAGGTCAGATTGTACTTAACTCTGGGACAGCAAACTTCATGTATGATCGTTCAGTTTTGAAGTAAGAACTGATTATCTCTTTATGAACATTTTTGAAAGAAATACCTACTTTTCCATTCCATGCTATATCATTGTCTTTTAGGTAATTAAGAGATTTTCCCTTCCCCAACTTCATATCTAAATACATTCAGATATTTTTCTTATGCTACAAACAAGCAAACAAACAAAAAAGCCTAACAACAATTAGATGCAGAAGCCAGTGAAGACCAAACTGTCTTTTATTAAAACAGATGGTAGAGAGATGAGCCAAAAAATGCCATCCTTTTTATTTTCAGTAAAATAAAATACTATTTGTTTTATATGTAATGGGCTTATTATTGTCATTTAAAACACAGTAATTAATCTGTTTTAATATCTTGTACAGTAAATATATATAGCTATTTAAGATTTTCAATGTAGCTGGGCGCTGGTGGCTCACGCCTGTAATCCTAGCTACTCAGGAGGCTGAGATCTGAGGATCGCGGTTCAAAGGCAGCCCAGGCAGGAGAGACCGTGAGACTCCTATCTCCAATAAACCACCAGAAAACCGGAAGTGGCGCTGTAGCTCAAGTGGTAGAGCGCTCGCCTTGAGCTGAAGAGCTGAGGGACAGCGCCCAGGCCCAGAGTTCAAGCCCCACGGCCGACCAAAAAAAAAAAAAAAAAAGATTTTCAATGTTTTAATGAGTACAAAGGGCTCTTAAAGGCACTCCCAAATTTGAGGACCACTAGGTTAGAAAAAGTAACATATTTTTGTAAATGAAAGAAAAGAAAAAAAACATGCTATTGACAGCAATTAATAGGAAACACTTGATTTCTGCTTCATGAGTGCTGGTCCCAGGCTGAATAATTCTCCGACTGTGAGTAAGTGAAGGCTGCACAGGCTGAAACACATAGGAATTTAAGAAGAAGGAGCTTACAGCCAAGTCTGAGCAAGCACCATTAATCCAAATACAGCACCTTGCCTCTGAGTAGAAGCAGTCATTGATAGCCAAGGAAACCAGCTGAAGGGAAAGTCAAAGGGGAGAAGGACAAAGGAGAAACAGACATATTTGTCTGGGGGCTATGAAGCCCCCAAACAGGACCGGATGGGGGTAACAGCATTCCTCTCACAGGGGTAAGTGAGGGCCATTTGATGTCTTTTTGAAAGGAGATCTGCATTAGCATAGCCCTACTTTAGAATCTGCTGTCTCCAAATGAGGCATGCCTGGGGAGGTCTCACAGCTATAGGCCTTCACAGTCATTTTATCTCAAGTTGCCTGCTGTTCCTCTTGGTGTTTCC